CGTCAAATTCACTATAATTTTCTGCTTTTAAATTTAATTACTTTGAACGATTTTTAATTGATTTAAGCAATTAACTAAAAATTATTGTATTCTGTCTAAATTAAAGATACACAATTAATATAAATTGATCATTATAAAACCCAATGAGAGTACAGAGAAATCATGCAAAAAACTCATCATTTTATATTAAAATTAAAATCTCTTTCTCTCTCTTTTTATTTATTCTTTTATATAGGTAACTATCTAATCGTTCATCTATCACTAAGATAAAATAATAGTTAGAATTACCATAATTTATAGTCACTTTCAGTGCCAACCATAAATATACTTTTTAGTAGAGTTATAAATACATATAATTATTACTAACGTAACAGTAATAACTATAAAAAGGAAGTTCGTAACTATAAATATTTTATGAATCATCACAAATACCCCAAACACTTTTCTCTCACTATCTATCTATCTATCTTTCGAATTTAACATGTTTAGAAAGGCACGGTCCGGGAAGGGTTAAATGTCAACTGCAAGTTTCCCATAAGAGAAGACATTCATGTTACTAATTTCTATGACGCAACCTGTACAGAAACCTGCTGCTGGCGCCGCCTTCAAATGCGGAACGTAAATTTGCAAAGCCGAGCACGAGCCTCTATAGCGCCGGCTCCAATATCCACAACACCACGTGTCAATACACCTACACGTGTGTGAAACGTGCATGTACGCAACGTATAAGTTCGAACACAAGTATGACAGAAGCAATAAAATAAACGTGAAATAAAATCGCGCCTATTATCATTATTTTCTCTTTCAATCGTAGAGTGATTCAAACTTCCTTTTACTGGAAGAAGAAAATATTTGCGATAATATCGCAATTTGCTGTAATGTTAGAGTATTTTCTCTGTGTGTTCAAAAATTAATTAACATTTTGACAAACCATAGTGATATAATAAGAATAGACAGCGCATTTCTTTGATGTTATCACTGTCGATTCGGAAAGAATGAGGTAGTTTGAAGCATGCTGTCTTTAAAATATCAAATTGAAGACAGATGCTGATAGAGTTGAAGAGAGATACTGACCCATGCAGCATAGAAACTTCCAGTAACATTACTGCAACGTTGCAATACTATTATAATATTACTGGAATATTGCAGAAAAGACATATTAAATTTTAATAAATATTTGTGTATATTTATAATGCTAACTAATTTACTTAAAATAAATAAATATTTACTCAACAATAAAAAGAAATAATAGTTAAATTAAATTAATAGTTATTGTACCACGTAAATATATCTTTATATTTAGTAAACATTTAGTCTATTCAAACAAATAATCTTATCATAATTTATTAAAAATTAGTATATTTTTCAGTTGTAATGTCGGTAGAATGATCTGTACTATACATGTATATTCTAAGATCATACAAGGGATGTTCATAATCTATATCTATAATAATAATAACCTTATACGGTCTATAATAATCAGTAATTCCAACAAATATTGCCACGTGCCAACAATTAGTCGCGTGTAGCTAATATTGACGGACGTATCGATAATAGAATATTGACGGTAATCCAGAATTCTTTTCAAGTATCACTATCCTGTTACCAAATGATATCCCCTGATATCATCAATAATATCATAAAACTGTTGATGCTCGAAAATGGAGAAATCACCGCCATCGTATATCAATATTTGTTGGACATGACACTATTATTGACTATACGAGGTCCATATAATGTACATATGTATACGTACCGTCATAAGGTACATAAAACTGAACTAAAATGCTGTCAATAATACTGACCGGGTTGTAAAAATATTTATACGTATACTATGAATATTACTGATTCGATATTACCGATCAGTAAAATCGATCGCGTAAAATCTGCACATTACGTCTATGCAACAAACGTCGACGTTGCTCATTCCACGCTCATTCATGCTCTTTTCGATCATGTTTATGTTCACGCGTTCGTGCTGATACGAATCCATTCGCTTTTTTGAGCGTGTTTGCGCGATTTTACGCGATACGTCGTACCCACGCAGCGTCGAAGTCACGAAACATGTTCACGGTGCGATTTACTATCCGCTCCGGCCTGACATTACGATACACGAAATACGCCCGATACTGCAATGCCCCTCGTAAACCGAGATGTTCGAGTAACGATAAAACAAATATATTACGCCCACAAATAATCTTTCTCTCTCTCTCTCTCTCTCTCTCTCTCTCTCTCTCTCTCTCTCTCTCTCTCTCCCTCTCT